GCAAAATTTCTCATTTCTTCCAGAAGAGATTCTGTACGATTAATATCACCATTAGGCCTTACAAACTTATCAAGATAATCGTATTCTGAACTTTGATATAAATAAACATACACAGGGTAACTTTTCCAGATATTACTGATACTGCCAGTCATGCATGTGCGTTATGATCAATGATATCAATCAAAGATCATCTCTATTTATATTTCTATTTATGCACATGAACGTCTTCACTTATTGGAGATTTAAATAACTTTTCCAACTCAACAACATCCTTAATAGATGGTCCAGTATTTCTAAATGGTTCTGCCCATACATATATTAATTACCTCGTAAATCTGTTGAAACTTAACCACGTATAGCGCTTGTGACGTGTTCGGCAACTAGTACAGCTATACAATTTATTCTTGACTCCGACAGCCTCATCGGTTTTTGATCAGCAACATTAGGTCTATTATTCAGCGGATATATTGTTCATAATGCAGCTTGTTAATGCCTGTCAGTATTCTGGGTCTGGATATATTTTTCAAGAGAACAATATTATTTCCCGACTGTACGTGGACCGAGTCACACTTTTCAAGTATTATATATTTCTCTGTCTTTTCAATAAATTGTATTAAAATAAAATATTTTTGAACATCAAGTTGGTAAATAATCTCTCTTCCTCGTTTGTCATACATCATACTGACAATATTTACAACTCTGAATGTTGACGACATATGAGTCAGACAATCCTTAGCTTCACTGATACGTTTGGTCATATACTCATGTTTTTAAAGCCAGATCATACATCGAAACACTAAATTTATATTATGGTAGTCAGCCAAGATCAAGTGTAGCTCGCTCGAGACTGGAAAAGGCTCAATTTCAGCAAATTCTTCATTTATTATAATTAAGACAAATATTTATATTGAATTTTAGAATATATATATATATATATATATATATATATATATATATATATATATATATATATATATATATATTTATATATATATATATATATGTATGTATGTATATATATATATATGTATGTATATATGTATATATATTTATATGTATATATATATATATATATATATATATATATATATATATATATATATATATATATATATATATATATATATATATAATGATATAAAATAATACCTTGATATTCTCGGGTAAATCTCCTATCAAAAGACGCAGAAGATTATCTGACCAGATTTCAAAGTAAAATTTTAGTAAAAAATTATTAATATATAAAAATTGTAAAACGAATTTGTGAATCATCCAGTCATTAAAAATTATGAAGCATCAGTGATGTTGTAACCAGAAGCTGCAATGTTGATAAATTTTGTTAGTTTAAATTCAGTACAGTTAGAAGTAAAAATTATTTCCTACATAGGTTCATATTCGGATGTTTTCATGCAGTCGTTAAAGATGGACTTATAGTTGATGGGAAATCCCCATAATAATCATTCATTTATCCTGCAAGTTATTACATAGTGTCTAGACGTGGAAATACAAGAAGGTGTAGAAAATTCGTAAAGAGTTATTAAAGCCAAAAGGACAGAAAAAACTTTTTTTTATCAATTAATGCAGATGCAAAATATTTTTGTATACAACCACACTCGGTACAACATGTTCCAAATAAAGCATACATATATGCATATTCAATAAAATATAACCAGCAGACAAAATAAAGAATACGTCAAATAACTTTGTATTCTTAACTTATAACAAGAGCAAAAGAAACATAAAAAATAAATAGTTTTAATAGTCCGACATTGTCAACTTTGCCAAAGGTTTTGTATTGCCTCCACCACAGTTAACGGTCCACCTTCAATATCGCTGGTCTCAGTTTCCCTTTCACTTTCGACAAAATCAAAAAACGTAATCTTTCTAATTGCATTACACGATCGGAAACAATCATATTTATTTCGTGTTCGTGAGGCTATTCAGTTCTTACTTTTTCAATTGAACTTGCAGGAGGTGCAAAAGGCCTCAGATGTGTTTCTATTACCATTGCCAATTATTCGAACATAGATTTATAAATTAATTCTAAGAATCTATAATTGGAAAGTAAAATGTTTTTACTCTAGAATTTTCGTTGTTGTAATGATTCAAACTTGCACATAATGCTTTGAGAATCAAGACTATCAGATATATATCTTTATTCCGTCATTTTTTAATTTCAATAGCAGAAATATTACCATTAATTTTTCGTAGATCATTATCTAATACATATTTAATTAAAGTAATAACAACTGAATTACAAACAAAACCTTGAACTTATTTTAACCATTTACATTAGAACTTTGACACTGAAATTTGACCTGATGTTGACAAACTTAGTCTTTATTGTATTTTTGTATTATTATTATTAATACTATTAATGTTAATAATAACAATAATAATAATAATAATAATAATAATAATAATAATAATAATAATAATAATAATAATAATAATAATAATAATAATAATAATAATAATAATAATAATAATTAATAATAATAGTAATAATAATAATAATAATAATAATAATAATAATAATAATAATAATAATAATAATAATAATAATAATAATATCATTATCAATAATATTATCATTAGTATATGTTATAATGTGAATATTAATATAAAAAATAATAAATATAAATTGGGCCGTCTTCATTATCTACGTAAGTATTAAAAAATCTACTTACTGGTGAGTTTACTGTTTCGTCTCTGTCAACAATATCCTTATTTGTATGTTCTAATGCTGATGCAACTTGATTCAGATGTATTCTTTCCATTATTTGTTTATTTAAGTCATCGTCATAGAAAGTGATGCTGCTGGAAAATATTTTTTTTAGATCATTCAGTACATTTTGATATTCAGATTGAATTTACCTAGATTCTTAGTTAATTTCCTCAACGTTAATTGCTGATATTGTGAATAACAACGATGATCGGGATTCTCTATAAATGGATATGTTTTTCGATATTAAGGGATTTAGCAATTTTTTTAACATCAATAACGAGATCAGGAGGGTTTTTTAAACTGGTGGTGGTGGGCCTTTATAAACTGGTTCAACTTCAGGCCAATCTAATACTGATCTAATATAATATCTACATAATAATCAGGATAATTTATTTCAATCACCGCTGATGGTGTTCACAAGCAGTAATTGCTATTTGTAATAAATTTCCTTAATGGATTAAATTATGCGCTGGAATTCATCAGTAATTTGTTATGACAGATAACTGTCCGATGGAATGCTAACTACTTGCCAATCAGGACCTCCATCATGCTTATTCTTATTTGCAAATACTAATGAATTCTTCGGTTGATGTTGACAGAATGGTTTTGCTCTCATAATAGACCAGCTATAATATTCCCGCAATTGTGTTATTACTATATCAATGGCTGTAAATGCGGTATGAAATTTAACGCAAAACTCAGGAGTGGTCGAGATGAGTGATATGATAGTAGTTTTTTACAGTACTGAATTAATGACGATCTGTTGAAGTAATTCTCTGGATGCTGTCAAGGACAGTCAGTATTATTATTATTGTTATTATATAATTCTCTAGTGTGAGTGACCTTCTCACTAGAATCGCTAGAGATTATGAATGCTTCATCTTTTTTCATCAATGTTATAAACTCCTCATGAAATATTTTAACATTGCTGAGGTACAACGAAATGCATGATGATACTTTATAATTGGTTGTTGCTGCTGAATTTTTTATGATATATTTGTGTAATTTATAATATGTACATGAAACTATCTTTTTATTGCTGATAATAATAATCCGGCTCCAGCAATAATAGCAGAAGATGAGTAAACAATTATATCAATAACAGCCATACGTCTGCGATATTTTGTGTACTTTTACTGTAAAATCGTCAAATAAATTTTTTAGTTCGGTGAGACATTCACATACTTGATTGTATCTGTGAGGTTGAACATCGAAAAGTGAATCCGTCACTACGGTCACTCAATCTTGATTCATTATTATACTATGACGTTAAGTAATTAATTGTGATTTTTCAGCGACAAATTCCAGACACCAATAAGACGCTGCAGTTAATTTTTGATCAGATGGATTTAGTACAGACGTTACTTCGTTGTCTTGATTTAACGCTATATGTACAACACCAGAAAAATCATCGGTTGAATGACGCCATTGATTTGTTGTAAATATATTATATTTTGCACCACTAAACACGGACAGTGTTTAAACACCGGTAGCTTATGTGGTATGTTTATGTTATTTTGCGCTATCCACGTTGCTGATTTTGATGCTACTTTTATGCTGTATTGATATCTCGTCAGTGAGGAATTTTGATTAGTTTAGCTTTTTCAACAAAATTAGGGATCCCACTGACAATATCGTTTATTTTCTTGTTAAAATCAGGGAGTTTATTGCAAGATTTGGTGGACGTCCCCATATCCGCTAATGGGTCTGTTTACGTAACTGCGAAAGTCTACAAAAGTCTACAAGTTTACGTACGTGATTATTATACTGGTATTTAATGTGGTCATTTCATCATTGATTGCTTTTAGTGACGTCTTCATATCATCTAGATATTTTTTGTTTAAGCTTCAAAGTCCGTTTCTGGTGTTCTGAGATTATTGTTACCATTATTATTCATGTCGGTAAATGCACGAATTATACCATCATAGACTAAAACGTACTTAGATTATTGATCATCGACGTATTTTTAGTTGCGATATCATTATCTACGGTTGCTTTTCCAAGGCTTGTATTTTTTTTTTAAGTCATGATAATGTTTTCCTTCTCTTTTTGTTTCGGTAATTGATTACGCTTAAATCACCTCTAAATTATTTTATTTTTAAATTTTAGCAGCATCAAGTAAATCAAAATTAAACAAGAGCAGAATCTGTTAAAAGTTCCTGGTAGGTTTAGACCCTTACCGTACTAAGCATATGGAGTCCCAGACACTCTAAGACCACTTCCCTGTTTGGAGATTTTTTACCCTGTCCGCTTGCTTTACTTAGTACCGACCGCTACGGTGAATTAGTGGTTAGAGCATCTGCCTCGGATGCGAGAGGTCTTTGGTTCGATCCCCAGTCGAATAATATCAGAGACTTACAAAAATGGTACAAACAGTTACCTCTCCTGGTCCTCAGCATTAAGAAGTCATTGTTAGGACTGGTCGGCCTGGTGTCACGATAATATGACTGAGTGGGACATCATGCTACATGCTACATGTCTGCGGCATGATGCCCCAGTGCTATACATCACTATAAACTGCCACACTGTATACATCGTAGCGATATGACTGAAGTGTTTCAAAGCTACTTTAAAAGTCATAGTCACCTCACTTCTTTAACACAATTGCAGCAGCGATTCCAACAGCGACTAATGCAGCTGCTTTTACAACAGCTGGGACTGTAGCGGCTATTAATTATGGGATAGCTGCAAGAAACAGAAACATTTTGCCAGATGTAATCATATCTTTTTATTTCCAACAGACAAATTACATTTTACACATTTATTTATTTTTTTGCTTTATTGGTGTTTATGTTTTGATGTACAGTCAACGATTGTTTATTTGTTACCTCTTTAGCGATATTTTTATTCCGCAGTTACTTTTTATGCTGATTGTAGCCTTTTAGTCTGACAAGAAGTCAGACTAAAATTAATGTGATTATATGACATTATAATATTCATAAAGGATCTAATTACATGTTTGGAAAATATTTACGTATTTTCTACTGTAAAATTACCAACACTCATTCATCCACCAACACCTTTAAGTAACATCGATTCATCACTCAGTATGTCAACAATTGCTCTGTAATTGGCAATAGCTCCTATTGTCACACTGGCTCGAAAATGTATATTAACTTCTAATTGCCTGATTAAATCTAAATGTTCTAGTGAAACGTAATAAATCAAATGTGAGGTTATAAATTCTAACTGTGATATTTGTAAGCCAGTACCACTGTTTTGATCACGCTCCATAAACGACGTAAGACGATTATGTGCACGTGGTACTTGTTTTAAAATTAAATTCCGTAATATATCCTAGGATGGTTCTTGATGTCCATTTATTCTTAATGAAACCTCAGAAAGACCAAGTTTGTCAAATATCATAATATTACGATTTTAACTGTTTACACTTACGTCATCTTGTAATGAAATAAATATGTGAACAACTAATAGACAGCAAAATGAATATGTGTGCATTAATTTTTTATCATGACCATAACTGATGTAAGTAAATATGTTCTTTTGAGTCTCTATGTTACTTGGTGTACCTAACACTGTCCAGTATACATATTATACTTTTATTAACAAACTTTCTAAGAACAACTAAGAAATATTTTAATAAGATTTTTAATAGGTCATGAGGGAGGAGAAACTGTAAAGTGTGACGTTAGTTGGAGTAGAGGACTAAATAACAATACTATTTTAATGACTATTCATTGGTGCTTACGATCTATAAGAATCTGTTTGTATTATTGGTTTGTCCGGAAGTTGTTTTGGGCTGGAATTTATTTCCTCAACTGTTAACAGGGTCTATATTTTCTATGAAAATACATAATGTATTTAAAAGATCAACTGTTAACAGAGTCTATATTTTCTATGAAAATACAGACTGTGTTTAAAAGATCAATATTCTTTCAATAGACAAAAGAAAAAAGATAAAAGAGTTCAGGCAGGAGATTAAATTACTGTGTTTCATCAAATAACTCTTATAACAACATTACAATACAGACAATTTAGAATCTTTAGCTTTGGACTTAAACGTGGATTTTTGTTAAAGTTTTGCAGAATTTTAAATGATTAGGTCTTCTATATGTAATCATAGGATTTCGGAGGGATCTAGTGCGCAATACGCAAGTTAGTTTTTCATTTTCACTTTATATTCAAGAGTAACACATTATTTGTTGAATTCCACAATATTTGTCGCTTTTCACTCTTTTGTTACTCAATTTAAGAGCATAGAATCTTAACTCTCTCTCACACACATATATATACATGCACACGAACATAAACGCAAAAAACACACACATAAACGTTCGTATAAGGGACAAAATACAAGGAAACCTCTGGGATGCGAAAGAAGAATAAAAAATAGCATTTTTACTAATGATATTACTCCAAGCTTTGCTCGTATTGCTATTGGTATATCAAAGTGATTTCAAAAGTTGATTTCTATTTGGCGTTTCAAAATATTATATTTGAGCGTATAAGATGGTTCGGAAACAAAACTTTAAGAACATATTCGTCGTCGACAAATTACCATCAATGGTAGCATCCGCTGCTGATTGGTCTAACACCCAATTACTCAATTAAGCAATCTCGTAGCCGCAGGGAGAACCACCACATATATAATTATAATATCCAACCATAAACAGAAATGCAAAACAAAATCGCTGCAGAAAAAAACTCTGGTGACTCATTCTAAGTTATTTTTATCTCCAACGACAATTCATACTGCCATCGCATATATAAATATTTTTCAAACCCTGCTCATTGCAAATGAGTCCGATATTATACATTCAAAATTACGGAATCTCATTTTTAGTATTGCTTTTGGACTCTGACTACTAGTAAAAGGGATATGCCGTATAAATGCGCTTTGGGCATCTTTGCAATCGGCATTTTTGGTTTAACAAAGACATTCAAGTCAATGGAAAATAGGGTTCCACCTGTTTTCGTGGCAGTTGTATCTTTGTTTCCTTTACTGCTCAAAACTCACATGTTTTAAATAAATAAAGTTTATAGATTTGGTGGTGGTGGCACATCTAAGATTTGTTCTTATGGAAGATCATCTGCTGCAGTGCAATGAAGCAACAAAATTATATCTTGAGTGTGTGAGTTTGATGTTTGGAACTTATCAGTTTGATATTTGGAAATGACAAGTTCGTCCTGGTTAACACCAACATCAAACAAGTTTGAAGAAAACGATAAAATACACTTTTTTGGCTAACCTGCTCAGATCTACAACAGCATAACGTCACTAAATAACAATAGTAATTTGAAATATTATTAGGCGCTCATTCATGCAAAAGCAATATCTTCTTGCTTGAGGGCTGGTTCGGTTTCACAACAAAATAACAATATATTGGCTCTACAAACCGAGTTTGAATTGGTGAAGTTCAATTTTAAAAATGATAGATAACTATGTCTGCGTCTGTGTAAATTGTTATCAAATTAAATTACTGATCAAACTTAAGATGAGTCGAAATGCAATAAATGATTAGGCGTTGACACGTACACAGCCAAATGAGTGCTAGGTCCTGTTGTCAAATCCAAGTTCACGCTATCGCTTTCACGTTTGCTTGGCACCATTTCGCACCGATCATTGCTCATAAATACATTGGAATATGCTTAACTTATTTGATGTATAATATATGTTTAATTTTGTTTTGTCCTGTCTTCCTATTTTTGTAAACAGTATTGATAAAGTTGTACAGTAGATCATTTAATCATACAATATAAACGCAAGCGAATGTATGTGTAGATGACAAAAAGTATATTTAAACTGTGCACGCCTTATCTTTGATATACCGCTCGTTATTACATTTTTCATTTAAAGTAAACTCAGTAAACATCGTTTCCTTTTAACAAAAAAATTATAAATGTCGTGGTGTATGAAAAGTTCAGCACACATGCAATATATAAATTATATAGGTGTGTGAGTGTGTTTTTACGTTAGAGTATAGCCTTTATTACAGAAGCGGCAGGGAGGGTGAACCCTACAAAATTTTTGCTTGTGAAATTAAGCTAAAATAAGGGTTCCTACAGAGGCTGAGAAAGGGTCAATAACCCTAAACCAAAATCTCTAACTTTTATATTACCGTACGGACGGTTATAAACCTCATGAGGTTAGATCAGTTTTGTTATACTATTATTGACTTTTTTTACCCTGATTTTATTGAACTATTTTTTACGTTAAAAACTCGAGCAACATTTTGTAGAGATTCACCCTCCCTGCTGCTTAGCATTAATATCGGGACTTTTAACAATAGATTTGGGTTTTTAAACAGACATACAGTTCATTAACAGATAGTCAAGGGGAACTAACCAAATATTTTATGCAGACCAATCTAGGATCGTATATATAAATTAATATATAGAGTTTCGTTTTTTAAGTCAATTATATTTCCATCTTGATTTGTGAGTTTAAAATTCATTCTGGACAATAATGGATTATGTACACGTAGGTAGATTTGATTTATTGGCTCAGATACAATAAGCCACCCTGGCGGTGTTTGAATACTGGATGAATATAATATATATCCCGGTTGAGCCTGATTAGATTTAGAGAGGTCAAAATGGTAGCTATTATCAATTATATCGCAAACTAAATTCAGTGCGATGGTGGATGTTATATTAACAATATTAGGTGAGATATGACGACCTGTTCCATATGGATCATTATTATATTTGAGAATTGCTGGAGGTGAAATTAATTTTTTTTCCAGGAATTACATATTCTTTTAAAGTGTTCATCAATAAGATCACTAACTGATTTTTTTAGCTCCTTGGAGTCAAATCCGGGTATTATAAATGTTGGTAGCTGTTCTTCTGTGATTCCGTAATATTTCCGAAATACTGTCTTAATTAATCGCTTATGACTTACACGTTGGATTTGGTCATCTTCATTAACTATATAAGAGCTAGAAAATCTATCTGCCGGCACATTTATTATTTTCTCTCTGTCAACAATAGCCTTATTTACGAATTCTAAGTCTGCACCAACTTGATTTACATGTTGTATTGTTTCAATTATTTGATTTTTTAAATCATCGTTATAAAAAGTATTGATGCTGGAAAGCAAATTTTTAAGATTATTAAACACGTGTTCGTGTTCAGATTTAATCGGTCTTGATAATGAGTTAATTTGCTCAATATCAAGTGTCGATATTCATGCTAAACCCTTCTTACTCTGAATAAAACTTATAAAATAAGTATGAAGCATATAATTACGATAAGCTGGTGTAGTGGTCTCCATAAATGGAACTTTGTTTCTATATTTTGGAAGTTGTATAAATTTCTTAACATCTATGTTGAAGTCTGATCGCTGTGGTTCTGGTGGAACTTGATAATCTGGCGTGACTTCAG